TTGAGAATTTTACATTTTTTTTATGTAGCCGTGTCTCTGTCTTTTTCTTTCCATCACTTTTGTAAATAGGTATTCCACCCTGCGATATGAAAAGATCTGCCAGGAATAGTGAAAGGTTGAATTTTTTAAGTTCGGCGTAAATTTACTTGATAACCTTGTTTCAAGGAACTCTCTAGATATTTACATATTATTTTCTCCTTTGGTCAGTAACATTTTTTTTTCAAAAATTATGGTCACTTTGTCATTTAATAAATTTATATAAATATATATGTTCTTGATATATATATATATATCATATATATATATATATATAATAATAACGAACTCTCCCGTCGGTTTCGACGTATGAGGATCTGACAGCTTATTGATTCAGTTATGAAAGTTTGTGCGATAATCTTAAGTGGCATTTAAGACCCGCTAGTGATTTACAAAGGAGGCCACACATGGAGCAAGTGTGAGGATTGTGAGATGAGATCACTGTTAGATTGGCTGACCTTTTAGATCTTCCTCTCACTTCTTAAAGATGATTCAGACAATCAGATTGAAAATTACTGAGTCCACTAAAACACCATGATCTCCATTCTACCCGCTCCAAAGCTAAGCGCGCAAAGGTGTATATATATATATATATATATATATATATATATATATATATATATATATATGTATGTATGTATCTTATTTAAATATATTTTTCGCTGAAAAGCAGCATAGCATAATGAAAAAGGGTCCCAAACTTAACAAAAAAATGTCATTATTAAAAAAAAGACGAAATATTTTTTTTATTATTTTATTAATTTTTTTTAATCCTTTCTTTGTACCATGTTCTAAATTTTGGTTAAAAATCTTGTTTTTTTGTTTTTTCGTCGGCGGTCGACATAATATTTACGACTAGCAGTAGAGCCCGGTGTTGTCCGGGGATGTAACTGTAAGAGATAGATCAAGTATCGACCATCATAAAGACTGAAAAATAAAATTGACAAAGATTATTGTTTAAGGTTGACGGACACGCATGTCTTAATTAGTTTTTTTTTTTTGAAATATATAAAACAAACGAAATTTAAAAAGGAAAATAATATATTTAAGATTAAAAAGTAAAGAGCCCGGCGTTGCCCTATGTAAACAGTTAAGAGATAGAAAAGTATCGACAATCAAAAAAGACTTTTTTTTTTTACGAATTGTTCAAACCGAAATTCAAACAAAACATTGTTTTCAATCGTTATGAGTCTACCGATTGAATAGAATTTTATTATAAACAATTGTCTTGTAAATGGAATTTTGTTAAATTCTGCATTCTGAATGTAAAAATAAAGAAAAAAGTGTAAAGACAATAAGAAACACTACCTGCCCCCAAAAAAGTGATGTTTTGTTGAAATCGGTTGAAAAATATAGGAAATCCGATCCCATATATAAACGAACAAACACACACACACACACACACACACACACACAATATACCTGGGTTTTATATAAGTAACTCGATATGAAACCCCTTTCATTCTCGCAACAGCGATGCCTCTTAATCGTGTTTTCAAATTGATTTTGTGCAAAAACAATTGTGTTTTTTAATTTTTTATACTGTCAGAACCACCGCAAGGTAATTTTACGTAGTCCTGTGACGTTTTGTTGAAATCGGTTGAAAAGTGTAGGAAATCCGAACCAATATATAAACGAACAGACACACACACATACACACGAACAGACACACAATCTGCGTTTTATAATAAGTAAGATTAGTGTTTTTACGCTTTTCTTCCGGTGAAAATACATTGACTGAAATTTTTTACAAAGCTCAAATAATTGTCAGATTCTAATGAAATTTTCAGGACTTATTCCCAAATGAGTCAAATTGTTTTTGAATTTTTATTTTTAGTAAACCTTGGTAAAAAGATTTTTCTTTTTTACATATGTTACATTTTGAATCATCTAAAAATTACTTACTCAATTTCATGAAATTTCAAGAAATTGAATTTTCTTTCCAAAATATTTTATTTTTAGTTAAAAGTAGGTCTCCTTGGAGGATATAAATCATCCATTTTTTTCATACTACTGCTCCTTCCCCGAAAATCTGCTCTGAATTGTAAAATAAAAAAAAACAAAAAACAAAAAAACAAACAAACAAACAATAAAACTATGACATTACTTAATTAGAAAAAGCTTTAATTGCGTTTATAAGTAAATATGTTAAGGACACTTTTTCGTTGAATAATGAATGTTTACAAGAATTGTTTTCATTTTTAAAAAATAATTAATCGTTTAAACTTCTGCATTAATTCCTTCCGGCTAGATGAACTGTAATAAGGTGAAAACTATTTACGAATCAAAAATTGAAAAGCTTGAAATAAGTTGTTTTGCACTAAGATTTTTAAAATGAATTTTAACTTTTTTATGTATATAAAATAATGCGTAACGTTCCCCGGTTTAAAAGTATGCTGCCTATAAACACAATCAGAAAATAAGAGGGATGACTATAGAAAATTTAAATTCAACATTCCTAAAA